TCATTATTATCAATGACTTTTCCCCTTTTTTGTCGAATTGTAACAATGTCAATTACTATTGAAGTAAAATATGTTATACACTTATATAAATGTACATGTAATAATATTACCCATATAGCAAAATATATCTTTTTTGTCTGCCTGAGTCTGACATCATTAATATTTGTCGTTATAATGAATAAAATAAAATTTATTTTAATTAGGCAAAAGTGAGTAGGTACCTTTAAAAGCTACTGGAATAGACAATAGCAAACATAAAATTTAATTTTAATAAATTTAGCTAATTTTTGGCATACATATATTTATATACATTTATGCTTATTTGAATACATTTTGCAAACTAATTGTCTTCTTGTAACTTTATGCAAAAATGGTGGAAAGTTATTTGAAATTTATATAAATAAAACGAAAATTGTAAGACGTTTTGAGTTGGAAATACAACTTATTTTTATAATTTGTATATTTGTAAAACCAATGTAAATGTAATATGTACCTTCACTAATAAAAGTAATGTTAAAAATCATCATACAACCGTATGCAAAACGCAGAAATTAAAAAAATATTTTGCTTATCATAATTCAGTACTACAATGTACTAACTTTATTCAAAAAATGTTAAAAACTTAAGCAACAAAAATGATAGTCTTATAATTTAGTTATAATTTTTTTGAATTTACACTTTGGTATGAAAACAAATAAGTAAGCAAAATTATATTAACAAATTGTTTAAACATTTTTCGAATTAAATAGTAGTTTAACAAAATCTAATTAAAAAAATAAGAATTTGTAGCAATATTTTTAACAAACACAGGCAGATAAGTATCCAGACGTATATATTGATTAATTTGCTCGCTTTCTAATACGTCAATTAATTTTATACAAGCACCTTTCACCATCCAAAGAAAATAATATAGACGGGATTGAGATATATCAATAAATATTTTAGTTATTTATTAATAACATATTTTTAATGTCATAGAAATGATAAAAATCTAAAATATTGAAAAACTTTACGTACGTAAAAATCGAATAAATTCCAGGAATTGATCACAAATAAATTATGGACTATATTTTCATAAAGGTATTTCATGGAAATATTTTTATTTAATTTCTCGAAAAAAATTATCGCATATGACGACCTTCATAAGTAATCAATCAATTACTAATCAATTTCAAACGAGCAATCAACGTCCAACAATTTTTCTTATGGTATGTAATGATTCATTGAACAAATTCATATCATGAATACAATGCATGAAACATGCAAATAAAATTCTAAAATGTTTATAAACCCTGTCCAACAGGAAATTAATGTTGATAATTATTTGATTTCCGATAGCTAAACAGAGAAGACTGTGCGAAATACATTTGAGTTTATTCATTGATATAAATGTGATACTCATTGCATAATAAATTTTGTTGCATCTATTCGTCACTTGTAAACAAACTGACATGGGAATAATTTTATAATCAATCATGTAATAAAATGTAAGAATAAAATGATTTCAAGGACAACGTAATTGGATTGGAACAAAAGTTCTACATAATGAACATAAGAACACAGCTAGTATAGAAATATATGTGTAGTTCGTCGAGAGTTTAGTGTAAAACATTTTAGGAAAAATGATAGTTTGAACACTTTGAACACCTTATTGGTATTATATATGAAAGAAGCTAGAAATTCTAGCTATATATTTTAGCCTAGAATATATAGCTGCCCATCAAGTTTTCTTAAATGAAATAAAATTTGAAAAAAATACGATTTAGAATAACATCAATGAAATCCAAAATATGTTCAAACGAATTGAAAAAAAACTGCAAATTCTGCAAAACTGCAAAATAATGTAAATGAGTGTATATGGTTTGAGTGCTTTATGGTTTGAGATAATTTATCTAAAAAAATTGGTTTACAGAGCCACATGCTTTTAGTAAATAATTCCTTCGATTTTATAGCCATAAAAATCAATATTCGATTTCATATTTAAAACTAAAAGCCATATTATTCGCTAGGTACACTTAATCTATATAAGTATATAGAAATGAATGTATAAATTATATAGAAATGAATGTGTGTATGAATGTATGTACATAGAAATGAATGTGTGTGTGTGTGTATGTATGTATGTATATAAAAAAGAATAGTATGTATGTATGCATCTTGTATATAAAAAGAAATGTATGTATGTATGTGTGTATGTATATAAAAAGAAATGTATGTACGTGTGTATGAATGTATGTACATAGAAATGAATGTGTATATGTATGTATATAAAAATGAATGTATGGATGTATATAAAAATGCATGCAAGTATATATATAAAGAAGAAATGTATGTATGTATGTATATAGAAAAAATATATGTACGTATGTATATAAAAAGAAATGTATGTACGTATGTATATAAAAATAAATGTATGTACGTATGCATATAAAAAGAAATGTATGTACGTATGCATATAAAAAGAAATGTATGTACACGTATGCATATAAAAAGAAATGTATGTACGTATGTATATAAAAATGAATGCATGTATGTGCGTGTATATAAAAATGAATGCAAGTATGTGCGTGTATATAAAAATAAATGCATGTATGTGTGTATATAAAAACGAATGTACGTACGTATGTATATAAAAATGAATGAATGAATGTATGTATATATATAAAATGAATGTAGTACATACTACATAGTACATAAAAATGTATGCATGTACGTATTTAGAAATGAATGATGTACCTGCATAAAAATGTATGCTGAATGTATATAAAAATGAATATATGTATGTATGTAAAAATAAATATATGTATGTATGTAAAAATGAATATGAGTATGTATGTAAAAATAAATGTATGAATGTATATAAAAATGAATACATGTATGTAGAAATACGAAAATGTCCTATGGATTATAAAATTATACTTAATCGCCTATGGATTATATAATTATACCAATCGCCAAAAACAATGTAGAAATAATGCATAAAACTTACTTTGACAACTAATTTCAGATAAAGATAAAGCAGTAAGGTGTCTGAATTCATATTCAGCAGATAAATTGAATTTTTCATATTATGTAGAAATGATGCATAAAGTTATTTTACGTGAAATCATCAATAAGGAATACATCTCAGCACAAAGAAATGTTGTATGAATCTCTTAGAAATCGATGCTTATTAGGATATTTCACTTGCTGATGCTTATCTAAACTCAACGACCAACCCACATCTATTTGCCACTATAATAACTACATGCAATCAAAACTTTGGAATATTGACTAAAACTAATTTTGTTACTTGAACAGTTTTAACATAAATACAAAGTTAAAACAAAATTAAATGTTTTCAGGCTCCGACCTATAAATTCGATACAAGAAACCAATATGGCTGGTAAATTAATAGTGAGTATATCAATATGTTTGAATAACTTGTGTTACAGTAGGAACAGTACTAAATTTGTATAATGGTTACATAATTTGTTATATTATGGTCTACTACAATTTGATATGCCAACTTAATAAAATGTATACGTAGAAAAACTTCATTTATACGTTTATTTTAATCTTTTTGTAAAATATATTTGTTATGCTTACTTGAAACGTTTTAAAATAATGTGAAACAAGATTATTCCCAGTTCGCAGACTCCAGTCATTGACATTTCGAGGAAAAACAAAAATCCTATTAGAACGGAATCTCGTTTGCGGGAATTAAGGTTGGGCTCAACTGCCGCTTTTATGTATGTAGTAATTGTCTAACTCAAAAACATTTTAAACGTACACGAGAATAATTTTCAATAATTTGGATAGAAAGAAAATTTATTACAAAACTGGCAAAATTCATGGAAAAAAAACAGGATTAAATTAATTTAAGGCATGGTAATAAATGATGTTTTTTAAATCGCACTCATAGATAAATAAGTATAAAATTATTATAACAATAGATCTTAGATATGAATAGGATCTTAGATATAAATCGCATTTGCAATTGGACAAACTTTTGACTACTTGTTGATGCAATTGTTGATCTTCCAATGCAATCATGATGCAATAAAATAAAATAAAATAGAAAATCAAATATGCAGAATTGTGCATGATGAGAAAGCAAGTTACTTGAATAATTAGAAAAGGCTCCAAAATGATACATGGAATCTATGTAAATCGGATTTGCAATTGGACAAACTTTGATCCACTTGTTGGTGCAATTGTCGATCTTCCAATGCAATCATGATACAAAAAAAATAAAATAGAAAATGCTGATGGTAACAATCAAATATGCAGAATCGTGCATGATGAGAAGGCAAGTTACTTCAATTGTTAAATTTGAAGTAAAATCAGTATAGATGAAAAAGGGCGCGATATTGAATCGTATGACGCCAAAGAAAAGACTCTAAAATGATACAAGGTTCAACAATCTATGATGAACCGTATTTGCAATTGGACAAACTTTAATCTACTTGTTGGTGCAATTGTCGATCTTCCTATGCAATCGTGATGCATAAAAATAAAATATGCTTATGGTAACAATCAAATATGCAGAATTGTGTTTGATGAGAAAGCAAGTTACTTGAATGATTAATCTTGGGTAAATTTAGTATCAACGAAAAAGGGCGCCAAAAGTTGGTGAGTTGACGCCATAAGGTGTCACAAATTGTTGAAAGCAACATAGGTGACTATCCGGCATATTGCAACGTGATATTTATTTTAACCTGAAGCTACTTCAAAGACCAATTGAATTTTCCATCAATATACCCGAATAAAAATAGACATTTCTTCACGCACACCTATAAATCATATTTGTACTCTGTCCTAAGCCATGCCCTTCAATGCACCCACACATACCTATCAATCCATACACACAACTATCAAAACAATACTCGCCCATCTCGATGAAAACACTACTTTCACATTGCACAAATAAATGTTAAACTTGCCACGATCTTAATGAAATAGAAATCAACCCATATTTTATCTTATTATTAAATAATTTAATCATAAACTAGACTTACTTTGTTAGTGTCCGATAGTCAATGGCCGTCCATTTAAAATATTAAATAAAATCACAGTTAAAAATGATAAAATTGAACAGCTACTGCAGCACACGTGTGACTAACACAATAAAAACGCGTTGTGTGTGAACGCCAAGATTTGTCATGTGCGGCGGCCATATGCAAAATTTAGCGAAAACTCAAACCGATTTGTTCGGGTGCGAATCGTGCTGAGAATGGTTAAACAATTTGCGGATAGATGGCAACGTCGCTCTATTGTTGAAATAGAAAAAGCGGTAAATTGAAATTGAGACAACAATTTGCCACCTGATTCAGCGATTAAAAACATATTGTACAAGAAGATGGTGCAAATTTAAAGAATTGATTACAGTTTAAATTCATTTCAATATTCTATTTAACTCTTAGAAGTCTGGTATGAGCTAGAGCTAATATTTTGTCTAATTTAAGGAGACCCTAAACATCATTGATTGTCCAGGATAGTCCCAAATTTCAATATATATTTTAATTAGTTTTGTTTGTATAAAATTTAACAGAAACAGATACACCAAAAAGACATTAATAGAATTGATGCTTGCTGCAGTTGATTATAAAGAAAATTGTACTGAACTTCATGCAATGCTTAGAACATTTAGAACCCTTGAAAAATCTACTGTAAAAGGTTCACAAGTCAGAAAAATATAATGTTAAATATATAAGTTATGTACTCCGTAACCCTGATTTAAAAAAACTTGAATTATTTATTGATACCTGGGGGGGGGGCGTTCATTAATCGCGTGAGGTTTTTAGGGGAAGGGGGGTTTGACAAAAAAATCACGAAATATCACGTGGGGGAGGCAGGGTATAGTAAGATATCAAGTGTATTTATTTTTTAACTGATTTTTTAAAAAATATTCAAACATTTTCAAAAAAAAATTCTAACAAATTAGTTTTTTCACGTAACTAAAAATACACGTGATGTTTGGTGGGGGAGGGGGAGGGTAATTTTGAATATCACCATGTATCACCAAGGGGGAGGGGGATCCAAAAATCCTTAAAAACTAGCTCACGTGATTAATGGACGCCCCTGGCTTGATTTATTTATTAATTCTTAATTATTGAAAAGTACTTAATTATTTATTATTAAAACAACTTATATTATATTATATTATATTATATCAAATTTATTAAAAAAATATTTTCCACTCTCACCTTCTTCTCAAGAAAATATGGCCACCTTAATTATTTAATATCAGACTCCCAAAAACATCAATTTTAGTCAAAGATTTTCTAAATATTTTATAAGAAATACTATTGATAAGAAAATACTTCCTGACATCCAACAAACTAATTACTCATTTTAACGATAATATAGATTATTTTGAAAATAAAAATTGCAAATTCAAAGCAATGTTAAAATTCAATAGCAAATCGAATCTAAATGAGAAACTAATTTCTTTAGAGATTTGAGAAAATCCATGAGATATTTTACAACAAATATTTTTTCTACTAAAATGATACAAACCATAGAACAATTTGCATTGTAATGGTCATTCAAGCAAATAAGTATTCAATACAATTCCAGTTTGAATTATTGATTGAAAAAATATATATAACGAATGAAATTTCTTTTGAAATGTAATGTAAAAAATAATTATTATTTCAAAGGGTACCTCAAACATCTGTGAATATTGAGATATTATAGAAATTAATACATGAAGTAAACAATTTGTAATGAGTCATTACCACTAGAATCATTATGATAGTAATTACCAATCACGTTATGTCTTAAAACATCCAAACAAATGTCCAATTCAAACCAAACTTTGTATTTAAATCTTGTCCAACAAGATATTTTTAACTACAAATTATAAACTAATGATTAATAATAATTGTTCTGAATATTATTCATCAATGCACAAAAGATACCCAGTTGCTCTTTAATATCAATTTTGCTCTTTTGTATGAAATATTAATAATTACATGGCCAGTGAGCGTAAATAATTATCGAACGCTATTCAGTTTAACATATAAGTCTAGACATAAGCTTTTATAAATTATTTCATCATACAAACAAGAATTTATGTTTAAAAATAAATGTTATTTTGGGGTCCTTAATGAACCTTACACTTGCTGCATATTCAAGGTAATGGAAAAATGACATTGTTATTAACATCCTTGAAAGTCAAAACAATATTAAACGTGTAGTTCAACAAAAAAATGACGAAAAACTGTATATTGTTTTCGTCTTCTATATTACATTACATATTTCTCACAAAAATATGTTTTCTCAAGACCTCACCAACTTGGTAATAGATATAACGACGCCTATCCCACCCAGTAAAGAGAAATTTTATGTAAAATTTACTAGTGATCAACAAGCAATTACTATGGCATTAGTAAATACGAGTTATATTTTATGACTGGACAGGTTTAATGTTATGGTATCTGTCCGATGAAGTAAATTTTGTTTCTAACATATACAGTTTATTTTAAATATTTCATTAAAACAGTAATAATAGTTAGAAATTGGTTGAATTGAAACTAAAGCCACCATAACAAAAGGAATGGAAATTTATTGAAAAAGAATCCTATATAATTATTCGATAACTGAGGAAACGAATTGAAAAAACAATACAGAAGCACTTATTTAATCATATTCATTTGACAAACCTAAAATAATAAAATTAAATAAATAAATGAAAAATGAGATATAATATAAGCAGATCAAACTAATAAGTTATGTGAAAAATAAGAGTAAGAATAAAATTTGAATCAAATAAAATAATTAATAGGGCAAAATCAATGACGACACAAGTTCCCGGAATGTATCATTTTCCTTAAAAAATTGTATTATAAATGGTTGAAAATTTAGGTGGTACTTTTTTCGAAGTATGTAAATCAAAAATCCACAGTTCCCAAAACTCATTTTCCTTCGTTAATTGTTGCTAATTGATTTTTTTAAAATTATTAATTAACAATAATAAATGAAAAAATGATTAGAAGATGCAAAAGAATAAAACGATTATACAACAAAATAAACATTAAAAAAATGTTTCCAGTTGAAAAATACACATTAAAAAATCTATTCAATAAGTTTCAATTAAGATAAAATGCTTTTGACTGAAAATATACCCTGAAGGTTATTTTATAAAGTATGTAGTATCGTTCATTTTTACTTTATTTCATTGGCTTACCTCAATAATATTGTTTATACGTATAATTTTGAATATCTCATTTAATAAACAAGGTATAGCGGGGCACAAAGGTCCAATTTGACTTCGAGCTATTAAATTGTGAAAACAAAACTAATTATATAACAACAATTGGCACATATCAAACAAACAACTATCTGACTATGTTAAGTAAAACTCGCAGCTAATTAATCATTGTAAAATGAGTTTTTTACTGTTTTTCTAAAATTTGTCATCTGTCCCCTTTTGCCCCATAGGCTGGGTAAAAAGGTACTGCCAGGGCCAAACAGATTCAATGTCAACTTTAAATTTAAAGGAATTTTACAAAAAAAATAGCTATTATTCGAATAATGCAAAATATAAATATTATAGTCTGATATTTTGTTAGAAATATTCATCAGCAGAGTTGGAATAACGATTAATCTAATTTATCTCTTGTAAAATTACTTTTTTCGCTTAACTTTTTTTTTTATTTACTAATTTTTGTTGTTTACACTTTTACCAGGGTAAAGATTCAGCTGGACCTTTTTACCCCACCCGCGTGTAAGATTTTATAAAGATTATATAAAAGAAACTGTTGAATCTAACGTAAAAATAGTAATCCACCTTATAGAACAATTAAATATAACTCATATTTAGTAATTCCCTGTACCCGTTAGCAAATAACCTCATTGAACCCAAGGTTCAGATTGGTTATAAGAATAAATAAAAAAAAAAAAATATTTAGAAATTATATTGAGGTCTGTAAACTAAACAACAGTGCTCACAACCAAAAAAGTAACAATGAAAGATAATACTTTTGATATAAGATTTTCAAACCTTATTGCAGATTACTTATCAGACCGTCAAAATATACAAAAAACGCAGTTTCTGAAGTGAATAATATTTTAGGGAAAAAAAATATACTTAAAAGTATAGAAGATATAAACCAAAGTTCAAATCAAGATGTTTCTTCAATTTATCTCCTGACAGGGGAATTAGAATGGTGATTGCTTATATACCTCTTACCCTTTACTTTCGAATATTACTTCGTTTTCCAGATATTGGTAGTGGACCTTTTTACCCACAGACCTTTAAACCCTGCTTTACCCTACGGATAAGCAATAAAAAAATTCAAATGAATCCTTTAATAAAAAGCCATATTTAAATGACTTTTATAAGAAATATGCACAAGGAAAAAAGTTAGAAATTAAGGTAATTTATCAAATACAACAATATTTTTTTAATATCTTTTATTATCCGCCAGAATACATTATATACTAAAACCACGCTAACTTTCTAGGCACGTCCACAAGCAACATGTTACCACTTCTGCGGATCGCCTTAGGACTTTTCTCGGTATCAGCCCCCCGGGGTCCCCCATAGAAAAAACAGTTTATTGAATTTTTCATCACGCAGTTACGAACAGGATGTCACATACAGAACATTCATATTAGAATCCAACGCGGTTACAAACACAAATGTCCACACACAAATACATAGCCTACTTTCTCTCTACTTGCGGCTACTTTAAATCGAAGAGGTTATTGGTAAAGGCTGCCGAAGACTATGTTGCTTACACATTCGGTTCGTTTGTTTATTTAAATTAATGGACTGACGTCTAGATAAGTAAAAGTACAGTCAAGTGCGGATGGAATATGTATGAAAGGGATTCGTACTGGAATAATCCAAAATTCAGGTAGAACATACATAGTTTGAAGTTTTCTCTAAAAATAAGCCTTTTCAACGTGGAAATTCACTAGGTATTCCATTTATTTAAGAGATAAATATAAGAACAAAAATAATCATTAATATGAAATAAATTTTCCGGATTAACCAACTAAACTCTTACGAACTCTCAAACTGGTGGTACATCAATCATACCACCCAATAAGGCAAAAAATATACCAACAAGCAGTGGCGTGGAAACCGGCTCAGCCCACCCATCAATTTCAAAAAATTATATGGGCTAATATCTCTAAAAAAAATAAAACAAGCCCACTGGCTGCCAATCCAAAAAAAAAAAACGAGCGCACCCATCAAAAATTTGGTTCCGACGCCACTGCCAACAAGTATTTTGCGGTAAAGTTATACAATTTTTAATAACCACGATAATCAAGCATTAAATGCTAAAATCTAATTATTTAATTCTTATTTGTCTTGTAAATAAGTAAAAATTTATTTATTGCGAAAAGTGTCAATATAAAAGCACTAAATTTTACACAAGTGCTTTCCTAATTATATTTTAAACCTTTCCACTCGCGAATTGCGTCATTTATATATAATTTCTTATATTTATAATATATAATATATAATCATTTACATTTAATTTGGCTCTCGGCATCCGAGAGGAAAGGGTTAAAATAATTTCATTAATGTTTCAATATATAATTCTCTTTTTTTGTTTCTTTCCAAGTGCATATTGACAAAAAGAGAAAGACTTTTTGATAAGAGTTACATAGAATATTTATACTTTTACAGTGGTTTCCAACCTATTCGTATCACACCCCCCACGGTTTTTATATGGTAGCGCCCATAATGCTTCTAACTATATAATTATATAAATATTCAACTAATATATAATTTATTTATTAGGCTACAAATTAATTAACAATAATATTTGAAAAAAAATACATGAAAATAATTATCTAATCACTCATATTATATAGGGTAGGAAGGGGGCACAAAGGTTCAATTTAACTTTGAGCAATTATATTGTGAATATAATTGTATATTATATAGGGTAGGAAGGGGGCACAAAGGTTCAATTTAACTTTGAGCAATTATATTGTGAAAACCAAACCAATTACAACACAACAAATAATATATATCAAGCAAACAACTATTTAACTATTCAGTGAATCATCTAATTCATGGCAAAAATATGTTGTTTTTTTCTATTTATCAAACATTTGTCACCTGATCCTTTTTGACCACATAGGCTGGGCAAATTGGAACAGCCAGATTGCAAATAGATCCAAAGTCTTATTTTTAATTTTGAAGGCATTTTGCAAAATAATATCTACAATATTCAACCAATGTAAAATATAAATTTTGTGAAATTTATAGAGATAAAATTGTATATAAACTCGATCTGGTATTTCGTAAGAAATATATATCAGCAGTCTAGAAATAACTATTATTTTGATTTATTTCTTATAAAATGGCTTTGTTAAACTGAATTTATAATTTTATTTACTATTTTTATTGTATACGTTTTTTCCAGGGTAATGGTTCACTTGGTCCTTTTTACCCACTCCACATGTAAGTCAAATTAATACGATACCTCATAAAATAATTAAATAACGTACACTTATCATTTGTATTAAGGTCTTGTAAACTAAGCAACAGAGTGCAAACGAATAAAAAAGCTAACAACGAAATAAAAAATACTTTCATTATAGATTTTCAAACATGTCCATTTATCTTCTGATAGCGTCTTTGCTTGAATCAAAGCAATTGCTGATTGCACATCTTTTCCCTCTACTTTCAAATATTGGTGTTAAAAAATTGTTAACTTTACTTGTTTTTGGGATATTGGTGGTGGACCTTTTCACTCGCGAACCTTTGAGCCCCGCCCTGTCCTCTCATTTCAACCTTTTCAGAATATATTATAGAAAACAGTATTTTGGAATCAGCTGTACGCCGCCGTTCTAATAGCATCGCGCCCCACAGGTTGGAAACCACAACTCTTACGAAATTAAACATTTCAATATAACGAAATTAGGTATCAAATCATTCGAGAAAACAATATTTTACTAACATTATTAAATTAATAAGTAGTATTGAATTGAAATGTGGTAAATTTCAACGCTTTGATTTAGTATTATGCATTCGAACCGAAATCGTTAAATGTTTTGTTTCTAAATTTAATTTTTTATTAATAATTTTACTTTAAATCCTAAATAATTTAATTCTTTTATATAGACGTATCATTAAAAGAAATGCAGCCTGACTTTCTAAATATGCAAATAATAAAAAATAAGTTTTCAATCCATAACGTTAAAAAATATTTTTAAAAAATAAATAATGTTTTAAATAAACAAAATTAAAATTAAAATTATTGCTAAAAGTTAAGAATGTATATATATATATATATATATATATATATATATATATATGGGGGGGGTTTGTATATAATCATATGAATCTTACCTTGTTAGAATTAGCTTTAACTGCTTCCTTGACTGGCGAATTGGTTGATACTGCATTTGAAACTTTGGCTGCAAATAAAAAATAACATTTAATAGCATATAAACTAATACATATGTATATATTTATATTTATATACATGAAAGAAATACATATATAATTTGCATTTTATTACCAAGCATCATGACCCGAGGGTCTAAAGTTAAAAATATAAAAGTGAAAGGCTTTCTTATATAAACGCGGTCAAATTCATTAATTCTATCTGTTGATTTGCATATCCCAATCTATTCGAAGACGCACACGAATATATTTGTTATATGTATGTAATAAGTGTGTGTGTATTTTTGATATATATATATATATATATATATATATATATATATTATACTACTTGTGCGTGTGCTCTCAGATATTAATGCCAATTTAATTACAGGAAACAGGAAACGTACAAATAACCGTAAAACCAATTTTATATAGCAATATACCCATATATACAGGTGGGTACATACAAATCAGTAAGTATAGAGGAAATTGGGTACGGTCGAAACGATTTTCATTCTGTAGGAAATGTTATAGATCCTATAATATCAATTTGTGAGTCAATTGATTGATAAAAAGAATCACTTTATTGCAAAGTTTTTTATACATAAATGTAAAATTTTGACATTGTGATTAATAAAACTATTGAAAGTAGTTTGAAAAAACAATTGCCGATCGCATTCGAGAATACTTGCATATATATACAAGGATAAACAACCAGCAGTAGTGATATCCATTTTCATTTAGATAAATAGATCTAAAAGACGTTTCCAAGTGAAAATAGTCCGGATCTAATTAAATAGTATATTACAGCTAGAGTAGGGGGGTCCAAATTGACTTTAAGTAATTGTAATGTATAAAATAAATCTATATACTATAAATACTATATCATAACTCATAACACGTATCAAAAAAATCTATTGCGTTAATAATTCCCTGTTAATTCCTAATCACAATAAATGCATTTTTTTACTATTTTTGTAAAATTTGTCAATAGCCAAAGGACTCAGGCTGGCCAATACGCAACCAAACTATTAAATTAGGTACAATTTGACCAAGACAAAACTGTATACCCCGGTTGGTTCTTGTTACCTCGTACACATAAACATCTGTTGAATGAAATTTGATATTAACAATCTTATAAAACAAATAAAATTATAAAGAAAACAGTGTTCACAAACAAAAAACTAACAACGAAGAAAAATATTATTGTTATAGATTTTCAAACATTGCCGTTTATATAATCTGATAGCGACGTTGTGTCATTTAAGTCGATGGCTGATTACAAATATTATCCCTCTTCTTTCAAATATTATTGTTAATAAATTCCTAACTTTATTTGTTTTTAAGATGTTGGCGGCGCTCTAACCTATTAGATAAATTCTAATAATAAACATCTATCAAATATAGATTGGCCAACTGATATTAAAACAGAAGTTCTGACTGCTATTAAAAATGAGAATACAAAATATTTTTATTGGAATTGCGATTTTTTATAAAACTGTCAGATTAAACCATTGACAATATTGGAATATAATATATTCATAGGAATTAAATTGCCAAAATATATGTATAATTTATGTAAAAATGGATGAAAAATGGATAATATAAATTAATATTGAAAATTAAAAAAAATAAAACGTCGTTAAAAATCATAGTCTATACACCTTGGTAAGGAATTAAGGATATAAGGAATGCTCGGGCTTTTAAAACTTTTTGAACAAAATTTTAACATAGTTTGTGACATATACACAATATAACCTATTAGATGATCACATTATATTTAATATAGAACACACGTGTTATTTATTATTTGACAACAGATTAGTTTATGATGATTATTATATTAGTAATTAGGCTTTTATTGTAAGCCCAGTTTGCGCAATCAATTATTACAAATGACTCATTCATCTCTACTATTTGCTTCATAATGTGCAAACAATATGTATTCAAACAAATGATTACTTTAGGCTAATCTAATATAAATATATATATATATATATATATATATATATGTATAAATTATATTTTTAAATATAATTATAATCAGCTGTTTTTTCATCATACTTAATTATCTTTTTACTAAAGATTAAGTTACAAAAACTATTCAAATCAGAAATAAATTAGTTGAAAATGATATGTATTTAGTATTTACACATTGCTTAAAACTTTTGCATACAAAATAGTATTTTATATATATTTATCAACATGCCATTGTACTTGGAGCAATATATTTGATTGAAATAATAAAATCTTTACCAAAGTAAATGCAATAGCTGTTTGATCAAAATAATTCAACTCTTAAATGCTACCTAAAATCCTACTTTTATTTTAAATTATTGTGATACCAGATAAGATTATATTTCAAAATTATTATTTAAAATTTATTTATTTCAATTAACACCACGTACTTTTTACTTACTCTATCTGGATCTACCAACAATTATTGACAATTTTGCTGCAATTTGATGCAGAATACTGCAACACAGCAATACTTCGGTTTAGTAAAGATATAAGTTTATTCAATATTTAGGAATTCCGATAAAAACATTTGGTGTTTTAGAAAATCAGATTTGTAAAAACCCTATCAAATAATTACAAAGCGAGTATTTCATTTAAATCTTATTACCATCAGTTATATTTGAAATGAAAGGCAGACTTAATACCATAAAATCGGTTTCTACACATCTGCTTTGTCTAGAGATCAACAACTATAATGGGAGTTTGCCTTAATTGTCTGTTATTAGCAATAATTACATTGGCCAGAGGCACAAGGCATAAAAAACAACGGGCTTGGAAAATTTTCTAACGAGACAGAATTTAGAGCAGAATTTATGTTGTTTAATTTTGGATAACATATAAATGTTTTGTTAATTTTGTTGGAAATTAGAAAATTCATAATGGACGAATCTAGGTTACAATTTTCTTTTTTAATTACTAGCCATAATTAGACGAAATATTACATGAAAAAAATGAAGTTTGTGTAATTTTGAAACAAAAACCACATATACGAGTCATCTTCCTCAAATTACCTTTTTAGGTATAATGTTTCATATTACAAATTTTCTTTTTCTCATATCTTAACAGCAATCAGAAACTTACGCCCTATGAGCTGTTGGGCTTAAACTTAATGGTTAATCCATTCATATTTAAAGATTTTATTACCAGAATTTATCCGATAGGGCTAGCTTTTATTGGTGCAGCAATGCCGAAGAATATTTTTACTTGCTATCTATATTTCCAAGTGAAAATCGTCGTCACTGCTGCCTAACAACAGGCTGCTCGAAGTAGGTATCGAACCCGGGACCTCTGAATCAAGTCCCATCGCTCTTAACCGCTTACTTACGGGCAAACCCTCAATAACACGATTGATGATTGATCTGATTGATTGACATGATTACTAATTGATTTTAGTATAAAAAAATGCATTTACTAACAAAAGTCATTATGTGATAATTTAAATACGTTTTTAAATAAATTAATTACCATAAATCACAAAATCGTTTCTATTATTTTCATAAATAATCAATGATATAACAAAATAAAGTAATTAATGAAGAATCATAAATTTTATGATTGAATTTGTAGATAGACGAGTATATTCAAGCCATTAGACATTAACTTTTGATACAACCATTTGAGATGAAATAATTTATATATATCGTAAATCTTCAACTTCCATAAAACACATAATCTATATACATTTACACATATATATGCGTATTCAAATATAGTATTTCCTAATGGGTGATATATGGGAAACAAGTTTTGCTCTATTCTGAAGTTTTTTTCAGTTAATTAAGAGATTACTTACTTACGTAATGAACCCGCGCATAATATAGATTGGTGATTTATACTACATATTTTTTTATTATGTATATAGCTTTATATGTTAATTTATATATGTAAATTATTTATATATATTATACATACATACATATATACATATAAATATATACATACATACATACATATTTATATTATGTGTGTGTGCGTGTATAGTAAAACCAATATAATTTTTTTTATCAATTTTTATAATTTTTTAACCCTATTGTTCAAAACAACACATTCTCGCCGATAGATTCAGAGAAAAATAGTCTTATTATCTATGGAAACATTTTGTTTCTGATTTCTGAATAAAAATATATAATATTCAGAATAACAGCATCCATGTCATCTAATGCTGATTTCTGATTTTCATTTTCATAGCTCATATTTAAATTGTTGAGATTTTTCTAAATAAGTATCAGCATAAACATACATATAAATCTGATGTGATTTCTTAATCTAGTATTATTAGATTCGAAATTAGATGGTTGATCATTATACATATCTGATGAGATTTTTATCAGATTTTTTATATAATACTGATTGCAACAATGACCCTCAGTTGATATTACTTTTTTAAATTTGTACTGAATGAAATTAAGATCTAATTAAAAAAGTATCTGATGATTAATATTAATCATCATTTATTTCACCGTCAGAAAATTGCAAAATTTGCCAAAAATCACACATTTGATAGATTTGGACTCAGATATTCTAGAACCTTATCCATAGACTTGGACTCAGATTTTCTAGAACCTTATCTATGTTAGTCCCAGGGAAAGTATGAATATCAATTCATCATAGTTGATAACTGATATTATAATTAAAAAAGTACGTAATTTATTTCACAATCGCAAATTTGAAAAAAAATATATATGTATATAACCGATACGTGTTAAAATCAGATTTTTCTGGTAAATTTTCCAAGAAAATATTAAGGCCTTTGTAGGGAGTGCCTAATAGTATGTGACCAATGGAACCATTTCTAAATAAATTATCATAAAACATGTTAAAAAGTTAGGACGTAATACCAAATAGGGTATACACATTTATAAAAGTCTCTTGGTTATTTATAATAAATTTCGTAATATGCTCTTTCATACAAAACTTTAATAATTTAATTTTTGTCATTGATATGAGTTTAAAAAAACATCTTAACCAATGGTATTAAACTGTTGATTGATCCATCAGATTCAAATTTCAA